AATCATCAACAGGCAACCACTTCAAGTATTATTCCTTGCGCAGTTACAATATCCAAAACAGGCTCTGGTATCTTTTTAGCTTTTGAAAAGAGCATTACCTTAGTTTTTTCAACATTTAAAAGAAGCTTTAGTTCAGAGAGCTGAGTCTGAATAATGTTAAAAACATCCTGTAATTTAACACCAGCCTCCTTAATGGAGGGACCTGCACAGTACATCACGGTATCGCATAGAAATGTAGCTTCATTCACATTTTCACCTAAACTGTTGATATATATGGAGAATAAAAGTGGACCTAAAACAGAACCTTGAGGAACACCATTAGCAATGTTTAACCACTCAGAAGACAGCCCATCAAAGTGAACACATTGTGACCTTTCAGAGAGGTAGTTCACAAACCACCCCACTGCATGGCTGGACTAAAAATCAGAGATACAGGGTCCTGCGATTGAATGAGGTCAGACTGAAACATTATTTTGGGCGACAGTCAATCCTCAAATTAAGGTAAATCCCAGATCTAATTTACGTTAGAGGGTCCGGAGCATGTGTCTTTACAGATGTTATGTCAAATGTTGGTTTCCTTGTATCGTGCCTTAAATATCTGCCCTTGTTGATGTTGCAAATGGAGCTGCTGTGATGCAAGTCACATTTCAGACTTGATCTGACAATAAAGTATTATCGCATTGTTTTGTATCGTATCCTATCATAGTTATCTCCGTGTGTGGTTTTGCTCTGACCTGGTGGACATGACATAACATCTTCTGGAGGGCCTGGGTCTCTGTGTAGAGGAGCTCCATCTCTGCTTTCTCCTCTGTTCTCCTCGTCTCCTGAGCAGGAAACCATTAAGGTCAGATAAGCAGCACAGAGAGAGAGAGCCTGACATTCCCCAGACTGCAGCCCTCTAGACAAGGGCGTTGTGGAGTTTATCAAGCCTTAGGGTCCAGACTAAAGCCAATTTAACCACCCTTCTATCTACCACCTCCCAGGCATGATTCCCAAGGACCCACCATCCTGTCCAGACTGATCTGCATGGTGTTTAGGCTGGAGTCCTTCTCACTATTCTGGCTGCGGAGGTGCTTCACTGTGTCAGTCAGCTCCAAGATTCTGTACAGATCAATAATTATACATAACTTTATTTATATAGCACCTTTTATTAAATATGCAGCCCAAAGTGCTTTACAGAGCTAGAAAAGATATATAAAAACAATAAAAATTAGTTAAAATAAAGAATAAGAAACATGATTAAAAACAAGTTATACTACTATATCCACTAAAAAGACAAATGAAAAAGATGGGTCTTTAATTTACTTCTAAACATTCCATGGCAGTTCTAATATCCAGGGTACACACACAGAATGAACACTGGCATGTACTCCTCCTCTACCAGACCATCAACACTATCATATTCTCTGCATAGATTCATGGGATTAACAATGACTTCTGATTAGATCAAACACAGCACAGCTTCTGATTATAAAGGCGCTCCCATTCCTGCAGTCCTTCTGAAGTGCAAAAGACGGTAGGCACTGAAGAAAGCTTGATGTGCACGATGTTTAATGTTCTATGTAGGGGACTACATTTGGCTTTCATTTCAATCATAGGAAGACATTTCATTTTGCAATTCATCAGAACGATTGCACTGTAGATAACCCCCTTATCTTTCTGTCAAAGAGCGCTTTCTCACAGGGAATTGAACGCATTTTGGTGAACTATAACCTTCCCTTCAAAAACAAACTAACCTGTCGATGCAGCGATTGAACTAGCAACTTTAATGTATTGTGAGTTAAAATGGCAGTTTATGTCAAAGGAGTCTGGAGGTTTTAGGGTGGCTCAAATGGGTTTTGCTGCTGCCCCTGTACACAGCAGTTCATTGCTTAGCTTCCATGTCGGTACTCCTGTACTCCAAACTGGAGGCGTGCCGACTGTCGTCAACTGTAGATAATAATGACTATGGACTATCCCACAGCAAACATTCAGAGCTATACATTTATTCGGACAATTACTTGAATAAGTCAAAGTTGGGTCCCTAATTCATGGTGAGAAATACTTAATAGATTAATTTAGGGATAAAAGGATTCAATGAATGTATCATTCAACCAAGTATCCAGCAGCCCTTATACTAAATGCAGCTCTAAGAAAAAGAAATCAGGAAGGAAACTCTTAAAAATAAACAGCTCATATTGTTTAGAAGATGACTTTACTTGGAGTTAAGTTTGACTTTCTCCGTGTCCCAGCGACCCTGAAGCTGCATGGCCTCTTTCAGCTTGTGTCACGGTTTGTGAAACAAGCAGGACCCAAATGCAGATTTAAACTGAAACTTCCTTTATTTCAAGGCTATGAGATATATAGACAATGACAAACAGAACACTCACCGCAGAACTAGTCAGAGAACAAGGACGAACCGACCAAGACAGACAGAAAACCCAGAACTTAAATACACACAAGACTCAATCACACAACAAGACACAGGTGAGGAGGGAGGAGAAAACACAGGGACCCAGGTGAACATAATCAGACAATTAGACACACCAGGGAAACTAATGACAAGACAATAACCCAAAGGGAAACGTGACATGGAAAACAGCAAAAACACCCAAACCTACAAAACTATAAACGTGACATAACATGAGAATCGTGACATAACCCCCCCCTC